AAGGGTTCACCACCACCACCTTTTCCACCACAGTTTTACACGCAGGGGGGCCCATGGGCACATGGATGGCATGGGCCAACGAAGACCCATCCATGTTGCCGTGAAAACGTACCTGCGCCGTGACACTACTCCACTCTTCCTTGCTGTGTTTTGATGCCATGGTTGTTGATCACGATACTCCCCCTCAAACAGGTTTCCCACAGCTGCTTTCAGCCGACCGCGCGAGAGTTTGCCACTGCAGTCACGCACAAACAACTTGTTCAACCTTCAAGTGAACTGACTTTCTCGCCATGCCGTTCCCTCACCATTTTCGACCTGGGAACTGAGTGTAACTGAATACAATTGTCAGAGTGTGTGTGTGTGTGTTGACTCTGAAGACCTGCAGTCAGTGCCTACTCTGAAGACCTGCCTATTTCATCAATTCCGAAAGACCATTCAAATTTTCAAGCAAATCAACGAAAAACCGATGGAGATTCAGATGCACAGTACTTGATTGAACCAGGTTCTGAGATTGTTTGGAGCTGGACACATGCTGAAGTAGAAAGATTTGTCAGCCATGGCCACGGATCAGCTTGAGGTTGTTGGCCAGACACTAGACATTCAGATCTCTGGCTTGGATGGACACAATGTGGTTTTGAACGTTTCGGATGAGATTTATGGTCACGAGTTTCTGAGGATTTTGCGCGGGAGAGTCCCTCGGAGACCAGGAGGCATTCTTTCAGTCTTAGTAGAAGACAAACAGCTGTCCATGATAGCAACGCTAAAGGAACAGGGGATTCAGAGTTCCTCAGCCTTATTCTACGTCTTCATGCCGGGCAATGCCTTGCGAGCCTGGAAAATTCTGCGTGGACTAGCGGGAGAAGAGGACCATGATCACCAGAGCCTTCATGGAATGACGACTTTGTGCTTTGGTCGGAACGCTGAAGTGAATCGATTTCAGCTCCCCTCAAGCCTGGAAGGCTTGACCTTTGGGGATTTTTTTCAACAAAGCTTACGAGGTCTCCGCATGCCCTTGGGTTTGCAGGATTTAACTCTAGGAGATCGTTTCGATGAGAGGTTGGACTTTCACTTGCCCCAAACTCTCAAGACACTCACCCTGGGTCAGAGATTCAATCAGAGCTTGGAGAACGTCGTCTTTCCAGAGTCGCTTTTGCAAGTGACCTTGGGCCGAGCCTTCAATCAGCCTTTGGAGGCAGTGAAACTTCCATGTGCACTCCAGACCCTTGTGTTGGGACATGACTTTAACCAAGCATTGCAGCATGTACTTCTTCCAGAGGGCCTCCAGTACTTGAGCTTTGGAGACCGCTTCAATCAGACTCTGGACGGAGTGCGATTTCCAGGCCAACTGCGCAGCCTGAAATTTGGTGCTTGCTTTGACCAGAGTCTGGAAGGGGTGACATGGCCAGAGGGTCTTGAGGTACTGGAACTGGGGGTGAATTTTAACCAAAGCATGGATTCAGTGAGTCTGCCCGGCAATCTCCAGGCGTTGATCTTTGGTTACTGCTTCAAGCACAGCTTAGAGCGAGTGCACCTGCCCAGCAGCCTCGGCAAGCTAACGTTGGGGAACTTTGCTGACCGTTTGGAATCAATACATCTTCCAAGAGATCTGGTGGTTTTAACCACTGGACATGAATTCAATCAGAACTTGGATTCTGCGACGCTTCCTCCAAACCTGTTGGATTTGACCTTTGGAGCGCGCTTTAACCAATCGTTACGGCGACTCGAGCTTCCCAGCACTTTAGAAAGCTTAAGCTTTGGCAGATACTACAATCGTAGCTTGGATGATGTGATCCTTCCAGAGAACCTGCGGAATTTGACCTTTCACGACAACTTCAATCAAAGCTTGGAACGTGTTCATCTGCCAGCACACCTTGAAAGCCTGACGTTTGGTGCGTCTTTCAACCAACCCTTGGAGCGCGTGCAGCTCCCGAGCCAGCTCAAAGTGCTGCGCTTTGGCGCTGCTTTCGACCGAGCTTTACAACATGTCTTGTTGCCTCCGAAGCTAAAGCATCTCATTTTCGGCAGCTGCTTTAATGGTTTTCTTCAAGGGGTTGCTTGGCCAAGGAATCTGCAAGTCTTGACGTTTGGATCGCGTTTCAACCAGAGTCTACACGATGTGGAGCTTCCCGAACACCTCAGCACATTGACACTGGGCGAGGAATTTCAGCAGTGCTTAACGGTGAAGCTTCCATCTCAGCTCCAAGCATTGCACCTTGGAGCCAAATGGAATCAAGGTCTGCTGAGTTTGCCCCCAGTTCTCAAGCACTTGAGCTTTGGATCTCACTTTAACTGCAGCTTGCAGTTCTTGGCCTTCCCTCAGAGCTTGGAGTCTCTGGTCTTTGGAGCCAATTTTGATCAGAGCTTGGAGAATGTACAGCTCCAAAACCTGCGATCTTTAACGTTTGGACGCTGTTTCAATCAGAGTCTGGAGCACGTTGTTATGCCCAACCTTGAAGTTCTGATACTTGGCGAAGGTTTCAGACACAGTTTGGAGCATGTGAACCTTCCTTGCCTTCTACGGCTTCAACACGGTCTGATTGAAGTGAATTTCATGTAAATCTCTGGACAACCGCTGACTTTTCACCCCTCTCCGGTCTGCTGGTTGGAGAGTCGCTCCCATCTGGGCAGCTGAAGCCGATGAACTGGCAATCTCACTGAACAATGAGAGAAATGGTGAGAAAACACATTAAACGTGTGGCATTTCCTGTCCAATTTCTGACGGTCATTTTCGGTTTTCCGGGCACAACTTGCCAGGTGTGAGAGCCTCTTCGGCTTGAAGCCTTTCAGTGCCTCCAACGAACTCTTCAAGCTCTCAGATTTGGTGTTTGGCGCTTGTGAACCGGACGGTTCAACGGTCCGGTCCGGTTGGCAATCATGGCAGACGCTGCGGCGCGAGACTAGCGTGTCAGGTCAAGATCACATCATTTGGACGGCCCAGAGCGTTGGCAATTGTATGCAGATTTGTGGCTTTCTTTTCAATAGTTTGACATGTGCAACAGCCAAGAGCTTGAGTCTTACACATCATGAAACATCATGAAACGATGGTTGTCCTGGCCAGGACCCCTATCTTTGCTGGACCAGTCTCCCTCTTACCCCCAGAGGATTTCCAGACTTCGAAGAATACAGATGTCCTACTCTCAAGGAGTCCCGAAGTCCGCTCGTCCGAGTCCTGCGGCATGCGCGTGTCACGTGGTGTGTTTCACCGACGTGTGAAGCGGTGAAACACCAGGATGTTGTGGCTCATGCGCAAGCGCTTGGAAGCCTTGATGCAGCTTCCATCCCCCCTACAACATTGGCAAGACTTCAAAGAGAAGGCCAGTGAAACTGGTCGGGTCGGTTGTTTTGGTTTCGTGGAGTCTGTGGATCTTTTGGGGTTTGGTGGAGTGAGTCTTTTCCGTGCCGTCCAGGTAGTCAGACCGATGTGCGAGTGGCTCTTCCATCATGAAGTCTTTCAGAGCTCTGATGGACAGCTGCCTCCAGGTGGTGTCGCAGTCTCAGAGCGAGAGCAAGGACCCGAACATCTCTGCAACCCTCAGTGGGTTGGGCATTTCTTTTAAGTCTTTTTTTGGTTGGTGACCCTCCCACGAAACACTCTTCACATCTCTGAAACCCTCTTCAGACTATGGAACACTCTCCGATTTTGGAACCCAACAACGGTTTGGTGGGGGCCCCATTCTTCTTTTCCCGCTGTTGTGCAGCGCCCGGATGCCCTTTCCAGGTTTGAACACCGGGTCACCTGGTCGTCACCGGTCGTGGGGAGCTCCGAAGAACGGTGTCCCACCGAGGTCCAAGTCTGCTCTCGACTCCGGAAGACCAAATTCATTGCAGTTCCATTGGATGCTGGAAGCACTGGTCCGTGCAGGCCTGTCCTTTTTTTGGCAGCGCCACAACGTCGCACGGCACACGCACGTTCTTGTTGTTCTCTTAGTCGCGGGCTTGCGACTCGCTTGTTTCTGCGGCAGGCTCGAATGTCGATGTCGTATATTTTCAGATGCCGCAAGTGAAAGAGTCACTCAGGGTGGCCTGATTGTAATAGTCGACCGCCGGCCAAGTGCATTTTGTCGCCGCATTGGTCCTCGCAAGGCACACCTTGGTGGCACCCTGGCGGATTTCCCTGGTGCTGAAAGAGCATCGACCCCCCATGTCCGCACCTCAGGACCCACGGACCCACGGACCACCGGTCACGCGCCTTGACCGCGCGTCAGCGTGTCGAATTGGGCGCTGTGCAGGTTCGCCCTGCCGGACTACTTGATGGACCAGGCTGGGCGCACGAGGTTTTCGCCAAGCTGAGGAAGCCTGTGTTTGTGTGGTTGGAAGAGCAAGTGTGTGGCGCACAAGTGGGTTTGGGTTGGAGGATGTTGGACATCTAAATCGACCAGAATGATCACCACCCACCCACTGGGCTTTGAGGAACTTGTCCAAATTGTCCCTACCTATGTGACGTTACGTTGACTCGGGGGGGCGGCGTAAGTAAGTGCTGTCTCTGGCCGTCTACGTATGTCTAAGGGTGCCCTCAATCAAGTCCGGTCGTGTCAAGAAACGGGTGGCTTGGTTTTGAATGTGCAATGTTTAGGATTGGAATTGCTATTTTGGATGTCCTAAGTATCTCTGTTGCTTACTGTGAGCCCCCCTTGCATGTTGAAGACTTCTGCTCATCCTAACAAAACGCCACAGTCAGTGAGTGCCCGGAGCATTTTGAGCGCAGCAAGCAGCTATAAGCAGCCACCCAGCAAGGGACCTAGGATGCTTTACATGAGGATGGCAACCAGTGTGTTGTCTGCTGTTGTCCTACTTGGACTTAGCAATGTTGCGGAAGCAGTCACATGTGGCGACTTGAAGACCTTCTACAAGGGCCAGCAGTGCTGTGGATCATCCAGCAAAGAGTTAACTGCCACCGTGCCCGGCTGCCCTTACAACTTCAACCCACCAGCTTGCAGCATGGCGGAGCCCCAGACGCCTCGAGATTTGAGCACCGGAGCACAAG